CGCGACTCCGCCTCCGCCCCGCCTCCTCCCTCGCCCTCCCAACGCCCCGCCCCTCCGCCCCTCTCCCCGCAGGCGCAATTGCGGCTGCTAACTCAGTTTTCGAAGAATGTGGCTGCGAGCCGGGGGCGGGGCTGGGCGGAGCGGGCGCGGCGCATGCGCGAGCCGGCATATTTTCCCCGGAGGTGCGGCCGGGATTCTGTACCTAAGAGGTGCGTTCCCTACCCGAGGGCGGGATCGCGGTCGCTGGGTTTCCGAAGCCGGGCCAGCGGGTGGCAAGCGGTGGGCAGTCGTATGTGGCGATGAAAAGAAATATTTATGCTAAATTTAGCCATGTCTTTGAAGTCCTTAGAACGCCTCTTTCAGAAAGTTGACTAGTTCTGTGGGCTGTCTTCAGTAACAATAGCGGCAGCGAAAATTATTAATCCTCTAAACAGTGCTAAAGTCAAACCGATGCGTTGCTTTTTTCACTGCTATGATGGACTGGGATGTCTTTCTTCTAAAAATAGTTTGTTATTATTATGAAAACGTAATGCTGGTGGTATAAGGATAAACCAGGAAAAGGAAGGAATGAAACCGCGCTTTGTCTCTGCCTCTAGAAAAACACTGAACATGTCAGCACATGTGTTTCATTCCAAGCTTTTTGTTGAGTGCATATATAGTCAAGTAGTTAGGGAGGTGAACTGCGGTGGTGTACAGATTACGTGTGTGGTGGCTGAATGTATTTATTCCATAAGCATTTATTGAATGCCAGCTACAAACAAGGAAGTGTGTCCTAAGGTACACAGATACCAGAAGCTCGTCATCGGAGCTGCAGAAAGCTGGCCCTGACAGAGAAGAAAAGATGGTACGCACAGACCTGTGATGCCAAGTCAGATGAGACCCAGAAAATGTTGGGGAGCTACTAGCTAGAAGTGCTGATACTCAGCCACAGGGAGAAATCAGAGGAGCCAGCAGCGTTCTTGGAATGCCAGGCCATTTTGCCAAAATCAAATACTTTGTGTTAGCTTTATTAGAAATCTCCAAGAATAATAAACAACTAGCAATAAATCAAAGCAGTCCTATGTTACAGCCTTGAAACTACACAGAGCAAATGCTGTGATTGTGTGATTCAAATACAACCTTCCCCTCATCCCTGGGCTCGCCCAGTAACTTGCTGAGAATCACTGAATGGGAGGAAACATGCTGAGCAGTTTTGCCATGGGAAGAGCCATCCTGCTGTCATGCTGCCCACAAATGGAGTGGACTACTTTCAAGAAGCCCAGATCCCAGTCTGAAGTATCAAAGGAAGCTGCTGGGTGACACTTCCTTTACTTCCTTTGGAGGCAGAGAGAGCCCTACTGTGGGAGCCAGAAGCCTAGGTTCCCACAGTGGCAGGGTTTCTAGAGCCCACCTGTGAGCCTGGAACAAATCGCTTTTTGCCTGTGAATCTTAGTTTACCTATCATTAACATTCTGGGTTTGGGTTCCATCTATGACTTTGCACTGAAGCGCCTAGAGCAGGCAGGGCTCTGGGCTCCTCTGATTTTAGGATACTGTGATTTTTAGATTAAAGGTGAGGAGCAGAGATGTGAGAAAAGATTTTGTTGACACTCGCCCTACTGGGAAAATCAGATTGGAGCTGTGAGTAGATTTCAAGCATATTTGGTTAGTAGGCAGGGTTTAGTTGATAGGTATCCACCAATTCAAACAGGGCCGCATTGTGAAATACACGCTATTTCTCTACAAAACTGAATCACATTCCTAGTTGAGCATTTTTTCTGCCACTGTATACCATTGTCACGTTCTCCTGCCCCACCAGAGTAAGTATTTGGAAATGTCATCAGCTGCTGCAGGTAAAATCCTGCTGCGGCCATCATTACCACCAAGAAAGCTGTTGGTGGCCCGGGACTCTGATTTCCAGCCCAACCAAAGCCAGAATTGGGGAGTAGGTGATAGTACACATTGTGCCCAGTGGAAGTGCAAAGACACAAGGGAAAGGACGTGCCAAAGAGGCCCTCCAAACTCATCAGGGAAACCGTGGGCTTGGGTCTGTCATTCCCTCTGCCCCTCTTCTCTGTTTCCCCTTGTCTTTTTCCAACCAGCCCACCTCCATTTCCCCCAACAGGTCTAGGCTCACGTCCCCACCCCCACCTTGCCCTTGCTACCAAGGACTTCATTCTTCCTATGGATATGTTAACAAGAATATTTTTGAGCAGTTACTAGTTCCAAGGGGTAACTAAAAACAAAATCATAATACGGCTCCTGTCCTGGATTGCTAAAAACCTAAGAAGGGCAGGAAACAACATTCATTACACCTCTATCACAGGCCAGAGACTGTTACGCCAGGTGCTTTGACATGTGGGCTCTTGTAAGTCCTATAATAGCCCTGTGGTATAGGGGTGCTGTTGCTGTGGCTGAGTTTAATAGAGGAGGGACGGAAGCCCCGAGAGTTTAGGCAGTAGCTGGGAGCCTGGGAATGGGGTTTTAGCCCATGCCTTTCCCCTAGGCCAGGATGCTTTTTGGCGGGAGAGTGAAGACATGCGCAGAAACAACTGTAATTCCTGGTAGCAAGTGGTGAGTGCTGTGGGACAGGCTCCGTGGATGGTGAAGGAATTTCACCAGACAGACACACTGCCCCTTGGGAGTATGGGGCACCGGGTCCGCGGGTACATGCTCACCCAAGTTGGGTAGCAACAGCTCCAGCGAGAGTGTTTATACCATGGAAATGAGCAGTGGCTATAATTCAGGGCTGCTTCTTCTTTCTCCTTTTTTTTTTTTTCCCTTTTAACCAGCACACCTCTGCGTCCAGGAAGAGCAGGGAGAGGAAGTTTGGCAGAATAGGAGCAGCATGAGCAGAATTTGAAAGCTCAGGTAAGATTTTTACCCACGCACCTTGAGCAGCGGTCTCGCTCAGGAAATAGCAAGGACAGGGGCGCTGGGGAGGGAAAGGATCCCAGAGGACACAGTGGGGATGTTTGGTTGGCTGGAGGGGCAGGGATTGAAAAGAGAAGATACAAATGTTGGAGGGGAAAGATTCTGGAAGGCCTTGAGGGTTAGTACAAACAAGGAGTCCGTCAGGTCCTGGTCAAGGGTCACTTTCTTTGCTGGCTACTTACCGGTCGCCTCAGCCTCCATCTGTACTTGGGGTCTCTGTTCTGTTCTGTGGGGCTGGGAGTGCGTGCACTGCATTGTCCAGCCACTGGCAGGATCTGCCCCTCGGAGGTCCTGGTGGAAGACCGGCAGGAAGACACGTCTTCTGCTTCTGGCTCCCAAGGGTGGCCATTGCTAGTGGTTGCTGGAAGTTGCTAGCATTAGCCATTTGCTAGCATTAGCCATTTGCTAGCAAAGGTGGGTGATTCCAGACCCCAGCAGTCCAGAGCATCTTGTCAGAGAATCAAGGCTTCTCTTCCAGGTGATTCCAGGGCTGATCAGCCCCGGCCATTCACTGCTTCTCATCTCTGGGTATCACTCCATTCTTCCTGATGCCTCCAAAATCCCTCTTCTTTGTCTTCTTAAGCCTTCCAACAGCATTGTCACCAATCTCCTGTAATACATTCCTTCTGTTTGAAATACTTAGAATAGTTTTCCGGAGGAGACCTTGGCCGACACATCTTCTGCTAAGGTATTTGAGAAAGCAGAGTGGGTCCAGGTTTACCCTGGAGCTGTCTGTCGTGATGCTCTCCTCCATGCCACGCCAGTTCTGCCCCAGGTCACTGCTGGTTTCCTGCTGGGCACTGATCCTGGTATCTGCCCTGGAGTCCCTTTGTAGAGGACATGACTGCCACGGGTCTTGGGAGAGGGACAGACGGGAGGTAGGTCTTTGTTTCCCGCCCCACCGTCACTCCGGCATGGGTGAGTGCACTAGACCTTCAGTCAGGCTTGGGGATGCAGGAGGGTTTAATATGCCAGCCAATGAACAGTTTGAAATTGCATATCTAACATTCCCATTCTTATGAGTCTTTTTTTAAAAAAATACACTTTATTTTTTTGAGCAGCTTTATACTTCAAGAAAAATAATAATAATAACAGCTTTAGACTTGCAGAAAAATTGAGAAAGTAGTACAGAGCTTTCCCAGGCCCCCATTTTCCCCTGTCATTGACGTCTTGCATTCACATAGAATTTATGTCCCTTCACATCAACTTCATCCTGTCAACATGATCTGTTGACTGTCTGATGGCCTTGCTGGCCTGGCTAAGGTATATTTGTCAGGTTCCTCCGCTGCACAGCTATTCTTTGTCCCCTTCCTATCCTGTCCTCCTTACAGGAAAGCTGCTCTGCATAGCCTACACGTGCGAAGCGGGAAGTTATGCACCCCCTCCTTGAGGGAGTCCTATCTGTATAAATTATCTGGGATTCTCCATTAAGGGAGTCTTGCCTCATCAAACCCATTCATAAATACCCAATTATTTAATTACCCAGTCCATCATCCTTACTTTCTGGCACTGCAAGTGCTCCAGGTTCAGCTTGTATATTTCCTGCCCCAGTCCCGGAATGCGTTCCTCCTGATGTCTCCAACTCCAGTCCGTTGCCACGTGGATCCCTCTAGCCTCCTGCCCCCCCCCCCAACCCCGCCGCTCCTCCCAGAGAGAACCTGGCTCCTGCCATCCACCGTCCATTTGCTTCATCATCTGATTATATTACTCACGTACAGCAGTGTCACCTAAGAGTTCTTTGACCCTGCACCACCTGGGGATGGCCATCTGCAGTCTTCCGTCCCTTCCCCCCTACACACACATACACACACACACCTGTCTTCTCCTTTCTCCTCTGCCCTTCCCCCCATGCTCAGACACCCCCTCCAATCCCACCCCAACCCTGGAATTCCTATTTATCTCTATGCAGTGCACTTTGTTTCCCCTTGTTTAGTCCATACCCTGGTGGCCTCCCCTTCCTATCTTTCTAAGCAAATATAGTTCCCCTTCTACGACAGGCGGGGATACTCACCACTATACTAACGAGGAAGACCTTAGTTCCCCTTCTACGAAATACTCTGGTGTCACCCGTAAAATATCTTCCCAAGCCCGATTAGGCTCAGGGGCTGGTCTTTAGTCTGTAGACATGGGGTGTGACCACCCCCCATCCCCAGGGCAGCAGCATCCATTGTCCACCAGGTCTCCTGGCAGCAAAAGCCAGACCAGGAACGGCCACGGGAGGAGCACAACAGCCCAGGTGGACAGGAGCAGGAACATGCCAGGAGTCATGGTAGAAAGGGCATGGAGATAAATTTGAGGGTTATTTCAGAAGTAGAACAGTGGAAGTTCTAGTTGATGGTAGAGGTCAAAGGGGAGAAAAATTAAATCACATAAGACTCTCATGTCGTATGCCGGGGTGACAGGTTTTCGTGAGGTGTTACTCAGTGAAGACTGAAAGTATTTTTCCGGGCAGGTGTTTGCATTTTAATGAGACTCCTGGTCTAGAATTCAGAATTGGCGACAAGGTTTCAAATGCATGCCAACTGCAGTAGCAACGTAGGGGTTGCCTGAAGCAGGAGTTAGGAAGGGCTCCTGCATCCAGATGCAGCAGGGGACAGGCTGTGATGTTCGTGCTGCCTGCGTGGCTGGGCAAGAGTGGGGCAGGGCCTGGGAGACCCAGGGCTCTTTTGGTTGTCCTGGTTCTATCTGCAAGTTTCCTTGTAGTTCAGGGATGTTTTAGTGAATTATAAGTACTAAAAACTACCTTTGGAGGAGATTATTTGGAGCAAAGCCTCCATATCATATCCTACAAGCAGCATCCTTCCTCGTCCAGTGTAAAGGCAGTCCTCTATTCCAGACTCGAATAACCAAGGAGCTGGAAGACAGCATGGTAATAATGAGCTCCTGAAAACTGACCTAGGACTTTGGTCAGAGCACTGTCCTATAAGACAACAGTAAACTAATCAGTTACTCAGTGGATTAGGTATCAGCCACTAAACCATGCTTTTTAGACCTATGATACTTTATATATTAGGGAAGAAAGCTTAAAATGAGAATTTTTAGGCACAAAGAGTGGTCAGGAGAGAAAATTCTCTGTGTGTGTATGTGCACACACACACGCATGTGCATGTGTGTAAGCAAGCACCTGCATGTGATCTTCAGAAGCAGAGAATGCAAAATATGGCATTCTCATAAGAAGCAGAAAAAAAGCCTTTCTTTCTCAATACACCTTACTTCTATCTGGCAGGAAGTTGTCATAGTAAATATATAAATCTATGTTGTCTGTGATATTGTGAGATTGATCAGTGCACCACCTGCACAACTGTATGTGGTATACATGGCCAGGAGTGGGGTGAGATGTAGTGACACAGCAAGAAGGTAGGGGAGAAGACAGTAAGAAAATGGTTTCCCGGGGCACCTGAGTGGCTCAGTTGGTTGAATGACCGACTCTTGATTTTGGCCTAGGTCATGATCTCAACATCGTGAGATCGGGCTCGTGTCGGGCTCCGTGTTCAGCACGGAGTCAGCTTGTCCCTCTCCCTCTGCTCCTCTCCCCTGCTTCCTCTCTGTGTCTGTCTCTCTCTCTATCATAAATAAATAAAATAAATAAATAAATAAATAAATAAATAAATAAATAAATAAATAAAATATTAAAAAAAGAAAATGGCTTCCCTGTAAGCATATGAAGCCATGGAGTTATAACAATGAGACCTGCTCTGAGTGAGTTTTCTGGTACACAACTAATTATCACTGAGTAAAGCACTTCAAGCAGGCAAGCATCTGATGCATAAAAAAACAGGCATAAAATAGTCCGCGTCTTCACATCTTCCACTTGTACTTCACTGACTGGACCCCTAGTCGATGACAGCAGCTCAGAAGGTTGGGATGGGACAGAATTAAGTAGGGGACGAGGTAAGCAGCCATGACAGTACCCTGTGATTGTAAAATAATAGAACTCATAACATAGGTGTGAAGATAGTTCTACAGACATTTTGAAGAGTGTGATAATTTTGAAGGACAGCATACATTTAGACATATGTTTAAAAAAAATCAGTTACTTTATGTTGTACTTCATGTGCAGCTTCCTGATTGCTTTTCAATTACCAACATCAGGGGAAGGCAGAGACCTCAGGGGGGTAGAAGATCTCCAGCATAAGGTAGTGTCAGAACTCCAGGCTGAGATGGGGAATTTTTCAGTGTTAATGGGACAACACGAAAGTGTTTGGGCAGAATAAAATCCAGAGTGGGAAGGGGGAGCAGACAGAAGATCCAGTACAAGTAGATGTCAGTTTATTTCATTTTAAAGGTAAGTAAGCCTTGTTTCCTATACAGGTGAAGCATTAAGCAGTGATAACATAGCAGCTCAAGAAATTGCCAGAGGCCTTCCCTCCCTTCATATTCCAGGGTCCTGAATGCTGGGTTTGCTTAAGGGAGATGTTCACTGGAAAAGAACTTCAAAAGAGATATCCCTAGGTGAATGGCTAAATAAAATTAAAATAAAGTAACACTACCCAGATGTTCATAGTGCATGAATGGATAAACAAAATGTGGTATGCATGCAATGGAATGTTATTCAGCCTTGACAAGGAAGGAAATTCTGACACAGGCTGCAGCTTGGAGGAAGCTTGAGAACATTGTGCTAAGTGGTGAAATAAGCCAGTCACAGAAGAACAAACACTGCTCGACTCCATATTACGAGGCACGTGGAGTCAACACCTTCATAGAGGCAGAAAGTAGAGTGGTGGCTGCCAGAAACCGAGGGAGAGGAGAATGGGGAGGCATAGTTGATGGGTCATTAGGACAGATGAAAATTCCGGGAACGGATGGGGGCAATGGTCGCATAACAGTACAAAAGCCCTTAATGCCCCCAAACCATGTGCTTAAAAATGGTGAAAAGGGTAAATTTCATGTTATGTGTATTTTACCACAACAACAAAAAAAGAGGATCACTCCTACTTTCTATCCTCACTTGAAAGTGATAAGAATCTGAATGTCGTGACCTTGTAATTATGTAACAGAAATGTGGCTTTTCTGGTTGGGTATTCTCTTCTGGTACAATAAATGTATTCTTACAATTTTTTTGTCTGTTTTGTTCATTTTTATTTTTTATTTTTTTTAATTTTTTTTATTATGTTATGTTAGTCACCATACATCATTAGTTTTTGATGTGGTGATCCACGATTCATTGTTTCTGTATAACACCCAGTGCTCATTGCAATACGTGCCCTCCTTAATACCCATCACTGGGCTAACCCATCCCCTCACCCCCCTCCCCTCTAGAACCCTCAGTTTCTATTCTTACAATTAAAAAAAATAACACTAAGATACCCACCAGAGCCCTTTCGAAGATGTCTGCCAAAGTCTCCCTAAGGAAATCCTTCTGAATTATTTTATCAAACAGAGGTGGCTATTTACTTTGTGGTTTGCTGAAATTAAAGCAATGTCATACTACAAAGAAGCATGAGCCTTGTAGAGTAGCCTGTAACATTGCATACACAATTTGTATGAGCTCTTACTGAGAAGTTCCTTTTAGTTGGCTTGAGAAGCCTTCTGAAGCTTTATAGAACATAAAGGTATGTGTGTCTGATTACATTGTGGTCACTACTGTGAGCAGTTCAGCATCTGACCCTTCCTTTATCCTCACGGCAACATCCTTTCTTTGGAAAAAAAAGAGGACGTATTATTGTAACTTGTGCATGTTGTCATAGGCATTGGTGACAGCTTGGAGCACTCAAGGATTTTTTTTTTTTTTAAAGATTTTATTTATTTGACAGAGACACAGAGAGAGAGGGAACATAAGCAGGGGGAGCGGGAGAGGGAGAAGCAGGCTTCCCGCCGAGCAGGGAGCCCGATGCGGGGCCCGATCCCAGGACTCTGGGATCATGACCTGAGCCGAAGGCAGACGCTCAACGACTGAGCCACCCAGGTGCCCCTCAAGGATTTTTCTGATGCCCATACTCTTATGTCCCCTTCTGCTGAGAAGAGAGATGTATTTATGCATGGTACCATGAGAAAGCATGGTAAGCCTTCCTTAGCAATTTAGACTAACGTTTTCTGTAACAGAGAGCTCTGCATTACCCTACCAAAGGATGGCTTGCAGCCACACCGTGGGTGAGGATGAGAGGGCACAGTATTTCATATTTAAAGTCAAACGAATGCAGATTCCAATTCTGACCCCACAGCCGATGCGGCTCTGGACATGGTACTTAGCCTCCATCTATAAAATGTGTTGACTAGTACATACCTTTCAGGGTTGCTGAGAGGGTTGGAGACAGTATGTATAAGAACACACAGTGCCTGCCATGGAGATGACACTCCATTAACATCAGTCACTCTTGGCTTTTATCAGTGCTGTCTTTGTTAGAGCGTTTGCTCAGAAGAGCTGGCTCTTACAACAACAAATACGCATTGGTAAAAAGTGTTCTTCCTCAAAATTTTGACACTAACGCTAGATCGAGAGCATCAATAACGAGCAATAGGATTATTGGTTGATTTCAATAAAATCCTTCACATCTGGACTTGCTAATGCTTTGAACTTTTCTGACCATTTCCTCCCTATTTTTCACATTGTCAGGAACAGAAATGTTATGCGGAAAATGTGGTCTCTAAGGCATGCTGACAATTGCCTTCACTAAATGAGGAAAAAGGAAATATCTATTTTTACATGGGTTATATCACCTTATAAAGATGATCACACACAGCAGATGTTGCAAAAATGCAGGTCGTGATTTAACAGTGGGTGCCACAAGGAAGTCGGTCACCAAGAGAAGTGTCACACTCACCCTCCTCATCCCTGAAGCAGTTTTTCATCAGATTAGAATAATGGAGACTTCAGGTGTGGTGTTATTACTCTTACACCTATATCTGTCTTAACATTTGAAAAGCAAATGTTTTCACCCAAGTGAAGGTTGCTGGCAATCAATAAACTCAGTAGTACTGTTAAAACAGTTACAGTTGCAAATGACAAAATTGAAACTTGTCTGTCCTCAAAAGAAGGAAGCTGGAATTATTCACAAAATCAAGGGAAGGACAATAAATACTGGGACCTTTGGGCCTAGAACTGGGAGCTCAATAACTGTCTCTCTCTCTCTCTCTCTATATATATATATATCTCTACCACACTCACATGGACACCCACACATAGGCACGCACACTTGAATTCTCTTATCCTGAATAGCATTGCCCCTAAAGAAAGGAAGCATGGCCCAGAGGAGTTCTAGGATTACTATACAGGGTCAACAAGCTACAGCCTTCTGACCTCCTGCTTTTGTATTGCCTACGTGTCAAGAATGATTTTACATTTCAAATGGTTAAAAGCAATCAAAAGGAGAATACTATTTTGTGACATGAAAATGATATGAAATATACATTTCCGTGTCTATCAAGTTCTATTGGAGCATAAACACACTCATTCATTTGGTTGCACCGGCACGGCAAGGGCAGGGTTGAGTAGGCACAACAGAGACCATCTATGACATTCGTCACATTAAACATTGCCCAGCACACCACACATGGCAGTTACACGGTTGTGACTCGACAACATTCAATTGCCATAGATCCTGACGTCTTAAGTTTTATTACCAGTGCGTACTCATTATGCCAAAATACAAAAAAGAAGAGAAAAGTGGGCTTTGAATATCTGCTTTTAAGGCACAGGAGAATGCAGATGACTTTACTGGTTTAGATGGCAAAGCATCTAAAAAGCATCTTTTGTCATGTGGTAACACTGCAGCATCCTAAGTAAATACGACATAGGTTGGCATTACAAGACTTAGCACCCAATTCACAAGAAAGCAGCAGTTAGAAAAATTAGAACATTTAAAAAAGAAAGTCTCGGGGCACCTGGGTGGCTCAGTCCTTAAGCATCTGCCTTCGGCTCAGGTCATGATCCCAGGGTCCTGGGATCGAGTCCCACATTGGGCTCCCTGCTCCTTGGGAAGCCTGCTTCTTCCTCTCCCACTCCCCCTGCTGTGTTCCCTGTCTCGCTGTCTCTCTCTCTGTCAAATAAATAAATAAAATCTTTAAAAAAAAAAAGTCTCATCAAGCAGAATTCCTGCACAAAAATGAAACAGGAAAATAAGGCTGCAAAGTAAATTTCCTCATAGCTCATTTGTTAGCTAAGCAAGGACAACCTATTTACCAATGGTGAGTTAATTAAACCGTATTTGACAGCCTTAGCCAAGGAAATGTGTTCAGAGAAAATAAACCTATTTAAATGTATTGCCATTTGGTGAGAAACAGTTCCACACAGAGTTGAAGACTTTTTTTAAAAGATAAGTAATTTTGGGGTGCCTCGGTGGCTCAGTCGGTTAAGTGTCCGACTCTTGATTTTGACTCAGGTCATGATCTCAGGGTCATGGGGTCGAGCCCCACGTCGGGCTCTGGGCTGATCATGGAACCTGCTTAAGATTCTCTCTCTCTTTCTCCCTCTGCCCCTCTACCATGCTCTCTCTCTCAAAAATAAAATAAAAATATAAGTGATTTCAGGTGGTTTTTCTTTGCTCTTGATCAATGTTGCTCAGCTGTTGTTGTTTATTTAAGAAATCAATGGCTGGAAGTAACCAAAAAATTAGTTCCTGTAGTCTGGAAGAGCTGTAGGTAAGAATATTTCCAAAGAGGCTAAGAAAATACTAATTCAGTACAACTTGAACTGGAATCTGCTAAGATGTGTTGCTATGCTGGTGATCTAAATGTGTGAAGCAGGAAAAGAGCTTCGTTGGACAAATCTACAAATGTAAAACCTATAATTACTCATTGTAGTATTCATCAGTAGGTGCTTGGGTGGAAAATAAATATCTCATGTGCTATTGAACAAATAGAATCAACAGTGGACCTTGTTCACTCTGATGGGCTTAACCAGTGTCAGTGTCATGAATATTTTGTCCGATGGAGGCTGACTATCCTGAATGGCCTGGCCACGCGGCATTCAAGGGCTTGGCAGTGGCCAAGTTGTACTGTTTCAGCTCAGGGCTTAGGTGGAATTTCTGAGCGAAAAGAACGGCACTGAACCCCCATTATCAAACACGTCGAATAGCTTCAGAAATTCACTTCTGCTGCAGGCTTGACAATGTTTCTTAATGAATTCATCCAAAAACTAGAAGGCAAAACAACACATGCCAACCCTTAAACTGTGGCAAAACCATTTCAGTAACAACTAACATTTAAATCACACACAGTGTCAAGCAGCTTCATACACTTCTCACGCTGTCAAAAGTTAAGAAGTGTTATCTCCATTCCCACACAAATTTGCAGAGGAGATATATATATATATATATATTTAGTTCAACCTGCAGTTCTAGCAGTGTTTGTCAAATCTGGATGCAGCGAAAAGCAAATTTCCATATTGCAGAATCTATTGAGCTATGCAATTGAGGAGCTTCGGCCAACCCTCCACTGGAAGTGATTCATTTTAAATGCAATGGCATGCTAAATGCAAGTATCACAAGAATCATAGAATTGTAGCACCGCTTTCCAAGGAATGAATGTTCTCAATAAAATCATGGATTTATATTAGTATTTGACAGCACTTCCCTGCACAGAAAGACATTTTAAGTAATGAAATACATACCGTCTCAGCAAATTAGCAAAATGGTATCTCACAAGAAAGAGTTCTATTACTCTTATTAATAGACTTATATTATGAAAAATAGTGCTCATTATTATTATATTTTGAATTTTGTCAACCAAATTCTTGTAGAGATGTGTTTTCTCTCTTGCCATTGAAGTACCTACACCATATCCTTATTTTGCCTCTTGTTCTGCAAAGCCTAAAATATTTGCTAGCTGGTTCTTGGAAGAAATAGTCTGCCAACACTTGCCCAAGAAGAAAGGGAACTTTTACCACTCATTCCACTGAGAAAAGTGAAGAATTAGCCAAGCTCGCTTCGTGATCCTATCCCGGAACCCATGACTACAGCTAACAGGATTAGGATCTATGACTGGGTGGGCCTGGACCACAGGCCAGTCCCTGAAGCCAGAGGGATGGGACACAGAACCTGAGCAGTCCCCATGTAACTGCAGGGTGGAATGAGAAAAGAGAAAGAGAAAATGTTGGGGAAAATTGTTGCTGGGTGGT